TTGTAACAGTATATTTCTCCGGATAGTGAGTAGCTTTAATCTCGGCGAAATTGGACGAGTGATTTTTAAGTGATATCACTTTCGATTTTTTTATAACACCTGTTCATCTGATGTGCTTACTATCATATGCTTGAATTTCAGGATTCAGAGGTACCACAATGACTTGTCTACATAGTCTAGTTGATTTACTAATAGAAATGACAACTTCTGAAGCTCCATTTGCACTCCCATTTGCTGCACTTTTCGAACCAACACTTCGATTAATGGTAAGCTATTGTTTTATGATTTTATCGTGGGTAAGTATTGCAAACAAATAGGTTACGAACTCCAATTGTTAAGAATTTCCAACTTTTGTTTTATGGAAAATTTTAGTCCAGTTTTCGGATCAATTATATTACTTTTAATTTCAGTTTGTTTACATCTCTTAACATCCATCCTCTTATGATGCTATGCAAAAGTTATATTTAACTTTTTCTCTTGCAGTTGCGACTGGTATCAATAAACTGTGGTTGTTCAACTGCTATCCTTAGGTTTTTCCGCTCAAACCACGACCTTATTTATCGCTTAACATCTTTTCTATTGCTTTTGGATACAAAAACGCAAAACGATGGAGAGGAAGATATGGTGCTAAAGAATTTAAAAATCACTATTCAAGGACTGGTGTTACATTTAAGCGCAGTTGAATTGTCTTCTCTGTTACAGAATCATCACTACAGGTTTACTTTTGTTTATGTTATTGACGCATTCCTTTAATGCTTTGGATTTCTTGCAGGTGGAATCACACTTCAGATTATTATTGAGGCATGATTGTTTTGGAGACTTAATAGTTTCTGTGTTCCATCTTGATGGGTCACATTTGATGACAAATATTATCAATGTTATAACTCTAGTTAACCAGTTATAAATCTCCTTGTGTTTGGGGCATTTCATTATTATCTTATTGTGATCAGTTTTTGATTGTGGTGAATTTGGGGGAACTGAATTGCGACGCATTTAGTGAGCCCAAAAATTTGAATCAGTTTTGTTCTAGTCAGCCAAAACGTTACTTTCATCTTATGCTATCGCAGAGGGATGATGTAATGGAAGAGCAAAATTCAGCAGTTGAGCAAGCACTGGGACAGAGTGATATTGGTTACACTCCAAATAAACAAAAGGATGAAGAAGGTTGGATGTGATAGCTTAAGACTCGTTGAATTGAATTTTACTTGATTTATTTATTGACTCAAAGCAGATTTCGTTTTTTAGATTTTTAAAAATATTTCAAATCGCAGATAAGAATTAGTTGATTGTCCGCTCCTTTTTAAGTCCATGGGATTTGTGGAGTAAAATATGGACTAATGTCAAAATGGTTTTTTCTAGAGTGGCCTTTTTTGTGGCGATTACTAAGAACTAAAGCTGATTTTAATGAAATGGAGATTCCGGTAATGGAATTGCTTAATACAAAAAGACTGGAGCAGGTTATTCATTTTTTTACACAATACTTCGTTGCTGTAGTATGAAAATGCATATTTGTTTAGACCAAAATTGAAGAGATTTATTTACCAAAGCAAAAATAATTTTATAATGCTGAGTGATTCTCAGAGAATTCTGCGAACCAGTGGGATAAAATGAAATGCACTATTGCACAAAAAGTATGTTGTATAGTTTCCAGATCTTGTCGTTATGTTTGCGTCCCACATCTGCAAATGTTCAGCAGTGTGATATCGAGCATTTAAACTGGTTACTTTGTAGAGAATTTAGCATGGTTGCTAATGAAATGCAGCCCAAATTCAATTTTGGAATTTCACAGGTATTTAGCATTATAAATCCATTGCTATTTATTTGAGATCAGAAAGTGAAGGTAATGTAATGGGATCATTATTCCATTAAAAAAAGGTTGTGCTTTGCTTTTGAAGAATTTCGTTTTTAGTATTTATTTACAGGATACTAAGCAATTGCTTCAATACTGCACAACTTATAACCTCATGAAAAATGCAGAAGCGTCACTGCGACAGCTTCTTTCTGGTTGGCTATCGTTTGTAAATGTTCTCGCTATATTTTGTCCGGTTCCATTTCTTACCCTGGGTAAGTTTTTTCATTTGTAATTAATATCATTTTCTTGAAATAGGTTTTTTGCTTCATCATTATTTAATTTCATACATTAGGCGATATTTCAAAAAGAACTTGACAAGTTGTTTATAATACTGTTCTATGTGAATTGTTTTCAGAAGTTCAGTACCAGTATCTCTTAGATGCATTATATATTTTACTAAACTATGCTTCGGATACGTACAGAGATGCAAAACTATCGTCAGCAGTTTCTCAGTGTCTTCTAAGGTTGTATATTTTGATTATTATAAATTTTTAAGCATAAAAGCTTAACGATATCCGTAATTGATTACTATAAAATTTATCTTGAAAATTTTTCTACAGATTGACTGCTTCGATCTGTGCACTACTAAAGAGTTTGAAAGAAGAAGTTGTTGAGTTTAGAACCACTATTACTGATGTTGCTGATGTTTTGATTCGGTTTCTGATACAACCAGGCACGTTTATTCTCTACTTCATGCTTTACTTATACATGGTAGTTTTTATTTGCTATTGAAAATTTGTATTTTTTTAACTGTCATTTTAATTTTAAATGTTAGTTTCCAGGTAAACGGTCGTTACAGACGAAGCTAGATTTATATGCTTGCATTTCGCTTATTTTAAACTATTCAACTGAAGCACTTGTTTCGGAGAGAGAGGAATATCAGAACATTTCTCGTTCCGATGATGACTTTCTCTTTGGTTTAACAACATTAAAAATTGCACAGCAAGATATTTTGCGAAATGCGCTCACAAAGTATGGACATGAACTAATTTCACTGTTGTCCAAAGATATTTGTGATTCACCACCAGGACTTAGAGTAAGCTTTATTTAATTCTTTATGAAGCTAAAGAAATTCTCTTTCTGAATTACTGAAGTTTGGTTATCAAACATACTTCAAAAAATATGTTGATCATTTTGTTGTACAAATACTCTAACGTAAATAACATTAACGTTTCCGGTCAGTTTTTCATTCAGACAGTTGTAATTGCAGAATCATCGTAAGGAGGGTTAATGAGATAATGTCTTTGTTATTCTTTTGAGTCGTAATCAGATTAAAAAGTCATTTCCTTTTTTTACACTTTTTTTTTACAAAACATTACATTCGACTCGGTAACCAGTAAACACAACTATGAAATCGTTTTAAGTAAACCTGATTGCTTGTGTTTGTTTAGAATAAGTTATTAGTGCTAACATAGTTTGGTGTTATGGATTTCTTTTTCTGGGTTTGAAAAATGATGAAATATTCTTAAACGCAGTTGAATTGATTTAATTTGTCTGTACTTAGTATGAAGAAAATTAATGAAAAATAAGACGAGGTGTGAAAGCTTTATTATTGTTGATTAATTTCCAATTTCTTTTGAGCTTTTCTAACAAACCCTCTTTTGTTTGGTGAATATTCTATAACAAAGAAAATCTTCTCACCCTTGCCGGTTGAAGTGTGCTGTAGAAGTTTCCTTTTACGAATATTTATAAATAATTTCACTGAAATATTTTTTCTTTCATAGAATATTTCTATTTATCACTTTGTAAGACTTCATTACTGCTACTGCTAAATTCATCATGTCCTTGCTATAAGACATTGTTATCGAAGCAAGCGCACGGATAGCGGTACAAAACTGCAACAAAATAAGCCATGTTGGATAAATGTGCCCATTGACCCACTGACCGTTACAGTGAAAGCATCTTAATGATACGGCTTTCATTTTAGCATTTAGGGTAATTTGTGTTGTAAAAATGGTGAACTAAAAGCAATGAAAATTGATTTCGAAAAAATTTATAAAGATGAGAGAATTAATGTAGTTGTATGGGAAAGTGCGTAATGGCGAACAAATTTTAAGTGTGTCTTCGTTTTTCTTCAATACCTCATTGAGTGTTTTCATCAAACATTTTGATTTATCATCATGTTTGAATATCAAAACTGTTGTTTTATTGAATATGTATGGTACCATGTCGTGAACAACAAAGCAGGTTCTTTTTCAAATAGTTTTTTTTTTAGTTAGATTTTTGTAAGTTGATTTTTTGTTTTCGAGCTCGTTGTAGGAAATAGTTTTATTTAAATATGTCAGATTTTATAAATCATAGTAAATAAATGTGGCGGGGAATGGAGCTGATATTAGTGGCATGAATATACCTTTAAATCTCTTTCTTCTGATTATATCCAAACTTCTAGTCAGTAAAATAACAGCTCCGATTTCCCTTTTCGTTTATTGTTTATTTTATTTTTTTTTTTTTTTACTACATTATTGGTAATTAGCTTTGCTTAACAAGTCATTAATACTGACCCTAATTTTTTCTAGAATTTTTTTCTGTGCTCTGCAAGTGTTCTAGCCAATTTTTCCTTAACCGATTAGGATTTTAATTTCGAGAATTATGAATATTACAACACCAAATAAGAAGAAAGTGATGTAGCTGATAGGGAGCGTGATGTGTCCAATACCAAATTCATGATTTTTAAATTCCTTGACAATTTTCATTGCTCTCCCATTATATATGCACATTTCATTTAGAGAATTTCAAAGAGAGAGAATAAATATCTTATCCAAGAATACATATACAGTATATTGTTTTAAAGGTACGAGCGATGAAACACTAACATGTTGATAAAATATTCTTTTGAAAATATATTGCGCCTTATTCACTTGCTTACGCTCACTATGTCTCAGCATATTTATTTTATAAGGCATATTCGGTATTGAGAATTTATATGCCTAGAACTCGTTGAAAATAATGTGAAGTGATCAGTAAACTGAGATGAGAGAGATTACTATAAAAAGAGGACGTCACAATAACTTTTTCGCAGTTTTCTTATTTTTTCTTTATTTTCTAGAGCTTGAAGAGAATTCAAAGAGTTAATGCACTCTCTTGAGAATGCACCTTTCATTTCAACAGATTTTTTAAATAAAAATGTAGTTTTCATTTCAGCATTTTAATGACAGTTTTATGTTATTTGTTATCACTATCATTCATTTTTGAGCTGCAGCTCTTTCAAGTCTCCAGTTAGGCATATGAATAACTAGACTTTTTGTTTATAAAGAGTAACGAAGAATCCTTGGATTTTAAATCCGTTTCGATAAAGCCATTGCAATACTTTGCGCGTCCCTATAAAAGAAAGTGAGATTTTCATTGTTTTCTCTTTCAAGTTTTTAATTAGGCATGTGAAAAAAAAAGGCAACATGAGAGTTGATACCAATGTATAATTTTTTATGGCACCTGAAATCACCTACTGAGAACTAGGACTAACATAGTTAGACATACGAACTAAGATTAAACAGTGTTACATTACACTTTTCAGTCTCTGTAAATCATTCAACAAAAATTTCAAAATGATTTTGTTCTTTCGATTATGGAACAATAATAATTTTTCGTCATTTTTTAATTTTTTTTTTCATTTTTTAATAAAAACTAAAGAGTTAGGTAAACTTTTATCCTTTGGTTCTCATGAATATTTAAAACAGTATATAAAATTTTAGTTCGTAGCACTATTTTGTCTCACACAAATGCTGCGAGAAGACGCTTTGGGATCTCAATCTTTGGCACTTGAATTCCTTCGTATTGGTATGCTACGATACATTCTGGAATCAGTGGCAGATATTAATTTAAGCGGATTCGAAACTAATGATATTCTTTCTTTGGAACATTGCAATATTATATTGGTAAGTTGAACACTGAGATTGTTGATCAAATTCGGCATGTTTTTCACTTGCTACTTAAATTCAGGATAGATACACTAGGCTTTAGTAGTATTTTTCACATTATATTTTTGTTCAGTTAATGAGAGAAAAAATTTGTCTGAAATTTTGTTCTTTTCTTAACGATGAAATCTTCGTTATTGATGGTTGACGCAAATGAATGCTTGGAATGAACGTTTATTTATTGGCCTTATGATTGTTAGAGAAATTCGATTGGGATTGACTACAGTCTGTCGCTGAATAGAGTTTGACAAGATGTAGAGGGAGTAATAGGACTAACGAATTAAAGCTTGCTATAGTTAAGAACTGAGGGTGGACCAAGGATTTAACTCCGTTTATAGTGGAGTTGGTTATAAAGAGAACCTTTGCAAAAGAGTTGGTTTATGATTGGACACAATGATTTCTTTAGAACGGATTTTTTCTGAAAGAGTTCTTTAGAACATTCCGACATTGCGTATAAGTTTAGTTTTAATTTGGGAAAAAAGAATTGGCCGATTATTCATTACATATTTCTGAATGAAACAGTTCTATGAGGCAGTATAAGACAAAAACTTTATGCTATAGATTTAATACAAAATTATTTTATCAGATTATAAAATTGTTTCAGTCAAATATGGTTAATGATACGGCAGTTTATCATAGAAATCAAATTGTTTGTAGAAAAAAAGTATTTTATTTTTACAAACTTTGAACTTTTAAATTGCTGATCAATTATGGTAACGTGGCAGATTTGTAGATTTTGTTTATTCGGCTCGGACTTACAAGTTGTGGTTGGAATGGTCTGCAAGATGTTAATGCTTTGCAAGTGTTAGCAAACATCCCTTTATGGTCTGATCCACCGAAAGATTTGTTTCTTGCATCTAGTTTTGACTTGAAGTAATTTTTTATATTGCTTTTAGCTATATAAATTTATTATGTATTATCATAATTCTAATTTGTGTTAGTATCCTTTTTTTTTTCTTTAAGAAAAAATAGTGCCTTACCACATCTATGAAATCGTACCTTACCATTTTTTTAGAGAAAAAAACAATTTGTATTTTTTTAAAAAAAAGAAATAAGCAACTGTTATAAAATTGTAGGACTCGTAGCGTTCCTGCACTGTATATGAATTATGTTACAAACATAGTATATCTTTGTATCGCATTATGTTCGAATTCTCATTGGAAAAGGATCTCATTCCAAGTAAATTTTTAATGCTTTCATGAAAGTTTTATAGGAAAACTTAAGAAATAAACAGAGTATTAGGTAAATGTAACATTTTAGTGAAACTGAAATAGTAAATCAAGTTGCAAACTAGAATAAAGTCTGCGTTGTTGTGATATTTATATGTTTTACTTATTATCTCGCACTTTTCCAGGTTCTTAGACTGTTATCATGCAGTGCCGACGTACTGAATCATTTGATAAGAACTAATCGGCAAAATTCGTTTCTTAAGAAATGTGGCATTCTTGTTGCACACATATATCACTTTGGTATGTATTACTTCCTGTTTAAGAGCATTTGAAAAAGATTTAGTGGTACATGAAATAAAAACGTCGTGAAATAAGAATATTTGTGTATTTTTCTGCACTTTTTTTTTGTAGGTTTGAAATCAGATTGAGTTTGTCAGTACAACTTTTTTTTTTAGATTCTGTGATATCAGTTTCTTGTTTATGGCTTTTAAATATGATATTTTCCAGATGCTCCAACTCGGCCGTTCATTGAGAAATCAAGCTGCTTAAATGCTCTAAGAAAGTTGTCCGGTAAGATGTCATTGTCTTCTTCAGCTCATTTGAAGGCCGCTTTCAACACTCCACGTCATCTCTTCAATAACACCAGTTCGATCATTAATTGATCTTGTTGCGTTTTTTTTTAGGAAGCTAGAGTATAACTTATCATTAGCAAGCTTTTAATAGTAATTTGCTGCTTTGGCTAATGATATTATGTATTGTGCAGTAATTATCAAAACACTTAGCAATTTAAGGCATCAGGATCAAGATGGCAATATTTTTAAGAAATTGCTGAAATCCAATATTGTTATGAAAGCTAAATTATCCATTTTTTTTTTTGTCAATCTTTTTGTATTGTTCGATTTTGTGTTGAAGGTGAATAAATTATAAATTAAAGGTCATTAACTTTTATGCAAGGATTTGTTAAAAATTACTACATTCATAAGCTGCGAATGCTTCTTACTCGTGTTGATTTATATTAATTAATTACATACTTGTTTCATCTTCTGTCTAAAGCTTCAGGTTAGGTAGACTGTGTCAGTCCTGTTATCATTTTGTAAGCGTATGAATAAATAATGGGAGGTCATAATTCCAAATGGAAATAATAATTCCCAAGTTATAGTTATAGTTTTAAAGTTTTTTTAAAAAACTTTTCCAGACTTAAAGTTTCAATTATTTGCTTTGTTTGCAACTTCTTAAATCCGAAATATATAACGCAATTGGATTTTAGTGAAATTAGGATGATTGACTGTGTTTTTGACTGTTGGAGAATGTTAACCTTCCACTCCTCTATAATGTAAGGATGGTGAAATTATTATGTCTTGATGATTGTCTCTTGGTAAGGTATATCACTCATTACGAGTTGTTGCCACTGCAGCAAAGCTACAAAAAAGAACCGAAAGGTTATAAGTATGCATCTATTATTAATGGCCGACATGGATGAAACATAGATGGACTGCAGTTTATTCCGACAGTACTTATTGTCCTTTTTGTGTTGATTGGCAGAGACGAACAACTTGTAATAAAGTTTATTGTTTGGTGGAGGAGTATTCTCAAGTTATAAGGAAAGTATCAAAACATAACGAGTCAATTGTCAGGTTAGATTTTCTTCGACATCTTCTAAGGGAATTTTAATGGCAATTGGAAGATAGTCATTTGTAAGGGATTCGTGTAGAATGTGCTGAGGCGCACTGTTGCCTGTTGAGATCAGCAAATAATTGATGGTGATGACGTGGGAGTCATTCTTCCCTTATATAGTGCGATGCTGTTTTACAAAACGTTTACAATTGCAAGTAAGTTTCATCATTAAGATGAGGAATCTCCAAAATATCCCATGGTTCGGTGTTTAAAATATTCGAAGTCATTACTAATAAGTATCTTCATTAAATGGGAAGGTCAGAGTTAAATAATTTTGTTATATTTACCTAAAAAATCTCCAAAATATTCCATTATTACGAAAAATATTTCTATAACATAAAATACCTTGATTTTTCAACACAGTTCTATATAAAATATTTCGGTTACTCCGACAGTCCCAATGGAATGAGATTAAGACCTTCGGGGAATATTAAGTGGTAATTGTTTAATGGATATTTTTTATCGTCCGGTGAAAGGACAATGAAGTGTCAATACAAAAAACAGATCAAATAAAATCATTTCCATCTTGTTCCCTACTAATCTTCCTTTGGATTGAACAATTTTTGAACCGGATTTTTTAGATTCGCATGGAATGTGAAATAGGCTCTAATTCGAAATTCGTGGCGAAGGCTGTGTTAGAACCAATTTTTATTTCATTGAGACAAAGATTAGCATTAATCGTTTGAATAGCTCAAAGAGCGGAGAGAGCGAACAGAGAGGAGCGATCATAGCCCACATCTTACTGCTATCTCCTTTAATCTATATATAGAGTAGAAGTGGTTTACAACAAAGCGCATGATTGTTGTGGCTAAAGAGCTGTTTCTATCGGATCATCCTTACTCTTTGTGCCGTAAACATTGGATTTTAACATATCAATAAGAGTGACTGTCATATTGCAAGACTCCTACAATTCTCAGAAACTGCAGGTAGATTTGGTTTAAAACAAAAGGCTTTCTCTAGTTGAAAGAGAGCTGACAGTCTGGATCTGATTGTTGGGCTCGAAGACAATGACAAGAAAATTGGTAACAATTTTCAACATATTAAGCAGTGCAAGTGTTCTTTGTTACAAACTATAAAATTACAGACAACGCGAATAGGTATTGGATAAAGGATTTCCTAAATGAAACACTTATCTAAGTATTATTTAGATAGCACTGTTTCGATGTATTATATTCGGTTTCTTCAAGGTGGGGTGATAGTAGCTTTCCTTCGAGCCTTTGCCATTATGTTGTCCCTTTGTAATAGCAATTTTGTAGAATAGAGTTAGATTACAAATTGACAACATGTCAGTTGGTCATATTAGATTATTTCTGTTTTGACAACTTGGTTTTTTCCGACATTTTTAGGATGAAGCAAGTAATAAATGAATAATACCAAACTGATTCATCTTGGTGTATACCTTTCAGGATGTATTGGGACATAATTGATTTATAGTACTGCTGAAGTAAGTATTCATCAATTTGGAGTCTTTGATTAATGCTTCTAGGCAACCAGAACATAATTGTTATTTATTTTAATCTTCGAATTTCGATTCGTTTTTCTGGTTGGAACTAACTTCGATCAATTTGTAAAACATTTTGTTTTGAGACAGGATGTTAGATAATTCAGTTTTTGAATATTTGCAATCCTTTAAACGTTTACTGTAGTATGAAAGCTATTTCACAATTCTTTTCCTAATAATGAATGTTGGCGATGGTAATTGAAGTAAGTTTACTGTTGTATGAGAAGCTAATTTATTGGACTATCATAGCTGGACTACTTTATTTATGTAGTCTGAAGTGCCAAATAATAGTCATTCTTGAGCATGGAGTTACTCTCCTTCAGTTGATAATTTCAGGATACCGCTATTCTCGTTGATCATCTCAGTATATCTCTTTCCTTAATGATAATGGTCGTCTCGAAAATGCCAGTTTGTAGTTGGAGACAGCTTCTTCTTGCTCTGACAGTTATTTTCGTGATCTCATATTGATATCGTAGTTTTTCTCTTAGCAAATGTTGGTGGTACTAGATCCTTTTTTTGCCTCACCTAGAAACATTTCCGGCCTTCTTTTCCGGACTGCATTCTTTTGATTAAATAAATTAGTAGCTATTTTGAAATAGCTCGATAAGATGTGGAATTTATTTTTTCCTTATTGTTCAAATATTTTTAAATTACAAGAAAGTTCCATCAGCAAATTGGAAGATTTTCAAAACATCACAAAACAAATTGGATGATCAGTGTTAAGTAAATGGTATAATAATGATTACAGAATCAGGCAGGATGTTTACATCAAAACTTTAATTGTTACGAAATATTTCTGTAGTACAAAAGATATCTTTGTTTATTTTAGTATTTCAGTAAAATGTTTTGGTTATTCTGGCAATAGTGTTCGTATAATCACCAGTGAACAATCACTGCAGTACAACAGAGATGGAGAATGTATTGAGAGTAAACGCCAAATTGCACGTAATTTGCTTTGGTTAGATGTCAAAAAATCGGAATATTTTTATAATATAAATATGACCAAATAACCAAAGTCCTACACAGTGCCAAATTATTGCCAATAATGTACTAGGCTTTTAACTGAATTTTACATGAAGAATTGAGGGAAAGGTTGAGATGCTCATTACCAAACAATTCATTATAATTATCCATTAATTAACTGGTAGTATTTTTTTGACAATTACTATAGGCAAATAGTTGCGACAAAAATTTTGTTAATTGACGCAGAATTTTTCTCGTAATCGTTATGAGAGCTATTTGAGAATGTCACAGGTAAAAGGACCACTAGTTTTTGTCACTGGTAGGAAAGATCTGACGAGGATTTAAGGTTTAGTGGAAATTTAGTAAAAATTAGTTTTAGTAGAAATTTGTTTGTTTGATTGTTGGCACAGGACTGGAAATAGATAATGTTGTAGGCAGAGTCAGTGCTGGGAAAATTCGTTGGGAATTCATTCGTTGATGTTGTATTTTAGCAAATTCGTTAAGTGTTTCTTTAGTTGAGGTTATCTTTTAGTAAAGGGGTGGTAAAATGTGATTATTAGTACAATTCGTGGAAGAAACTCAAATGAGAACTAATTTGTAGGGTATTAAGATGTTACAATAGTGTGGTTTATAACAAAAACAAATACAGAAAGCTTACAACCCTTTAACCACCTAAACTGGAACATCTCTACAGTGAATTTGGAGAGATTCATGCAGTGCACGTTCTTTTTAATAAACTGGAATATTTTAGACAATGCGTATAAACTTAGTTACGTAATAAATCAAAGCTGATTAAAAAAGTAAGTAAAAAATGATTTTGGTTTGGAACAGTTGTTTTATTTAATTTTGTATGATGAGTCATTCATCTGAGAAATGTTCAAATAAAAATCATTGTAGTACAAATTTTCTATGATATAAAAATAGATCATAGAAATGTTTCAATCTTTTTCGATAAAGGTTTAGTTTATTAGGGATTAAGTTGATAACATTAAGTTCCCATCAAAATTTTTTTATTAACAATAGTGAGGAACAATCTGGTGGTCGATTCTACCTGTAATATTCTTTGACAACTGTTTTTTAAAGTATATAAAAAATAAATCCTTTGCAATCATTAAAACCTTTGTCAAAAATATTAGTGTGTGATATCGTGAAACGAAATAAAGACTTTCACGGCAATAATCATTTTTTGAATCACTCACATAACAAAATCTGAATAACTCGCGAAGCTACAGACAGAAAAGTTATGGTAACAACGAAGAGCTGTAGATGCTTGTGTCGCTAATTTCAAGGTTTTGGATTTAGAAGCAAAGACTTCTCTTAAGGAGCAGAGGGAGGTCAGGAGGAATTCGCAACTGGAATGTGAACCTAGTTTGTTATATTTTATTCTGCACTGAGACATGTCAAACGTTAATTTAAATTTTAATGGCCAAGGCAGTTCATTTCTTTACCCTTGTTGAGATTTATGCAAATTACATAGTAACATTAACATACAATGACATCGGCCTTGCTCTGACCGATACCTCT